ACCAGCCTGGGGGGACACCATACAGGAGTAGGAAGACGCGTGTTTGCAGATAGTACGAGGGTAGCATTATCGTGCGTTCGTCGTAAAGGCAAGCGTTATGGGCGCGAAGTAGGTTGTAAAATGGTCCAGTCAGTATCCAACGTCTGGCAAGGAGAAGGGACACGCACCTGCACCACCCATCGTGATATCGTCAGTTTGTGTCGAGGGAAATCGTGCGGATGCGTGAAGTCGTGGAGTTGTCGAGCAGAAAAGAACTCTGCAAATTGCGGGATTCAGTTCAGCGCTCGTCGCCAACAGTGTAAAATATTCACGCTCTTGGACGCCTGGTGTGCTCGGGGACCGGAGGGGAGAGGAACAGAACCACGGCGCGCGCTGACGTTCTTTGACGTTCTTGCGCATGAGTCACGCGCACGTGAAAATGTTACGTCACGTCTGGCAATCAAGCGCGACTGCCACTGCCAGCAGAAGGGCCCGGTGTTTCCTTTCAAGAATCCCTTCATCCCAACATCTTGCTTCGTAAGAGGATGATTACAGCGCGCCACGATCCACCGTGTTGTGCCGCTGTGCGGGTGGGTTTTTGCTCGTAATCGCAGAGTCCGAGATACAGGGGGTGTACAATTAGAGCATGGCCAAGAACGTGAAGCAAGGGTTTGTATGTGTTACGCAACGAGGAAAGGGGGGACAGCGTTCAAAGCGACATGATAGATTACAGCCAACGCAAGGACTCGAGATATCTGCAAGGAGCATGGTAAGCCCTGATTCATGGGCAATTTGAGACCACGTACCGTAGCCTGTAGTAAAAAGTGCAACACCCGCACTAGTCAAGATCCATTCTAGCACCGCCGCGCTTACCCCCGCGCCCGCGCCGGCCTCCACCACCGCGACCCCTACGTCCCCGGCCTGCTTGACGCGTGTACTCTGCTGGGTCGGCACCTGGCGGTGCGACCATGACGGAAGCGCGAGGGTCATTCTTGACGATCGAGTCCGAACGCAGTTTCCTGAATAGACAATTTAGCTTGGGAAAGCGCCGAACACGCGGACCACTCACGAGTTCGAGTTATCGTCGCCGTCCATCAAGACATCCACGCTCCCCTCCTGCCTGACGAGACCAAGACCGTCCTTGCCGCCTAGCCGTGCGACCAGCTTCGTCCCCTGGCTGCTCTCGCCACAGATCTTGACGGACAGCGTCTTCCCATCCGCCTGTTGCCCGTCGAACTTGCTGACCGCGCTCTTGGCCGATGCCGCCTCCTTAAAGTGCACCCGTATCCGCAGCTCCTCCCCGCGCACCGACATGATCTTCGCGCTCGCGACCGGCCCGCACCGCGAGAAGATGGCCGTGACATCGTCCGGGGTCGTGCCCGCCACCAGCCCGGTGACGTCCACCACGTTCGACTGCTTCGGCGGGGCCGCCGCGCCGCGGATGGACAGCCCCTGCGGCTGCGGTGCCGTCGCTTCGCGGAGCGCGCGCTGCGCGATGTTGTTCAGGTTCGCCTTCTGCGGCGTGGGCCCGTCCGTGATGCGCGCGGCGAGGGAGTTGTGCTGGTCGTAGAGGTCGTGGGACCACTGCCCCTCGACGTTGCCTTTGGGCGCGTTCCGGCTGTTGGGGCGAGACTGCAGTGACCGGCCGGGCGCGTCAACGAGGGAGTGCTTGCCAGACTGCGAGAACTGTACGAACGTAGGGTGTTGAGGTGCGGATACTGTTGGCGGACTTGTTGCGGACGGGGCCGGTGGTTGGAGGGACAATGTTCATACGCTCGAGGAGGGACGCCATGACGAGGAGACAAGGGACACAAGCGGTTTTGGCAAGGGCGCTTGAGAGGAGAAAGACAAGGAGGCGCGTGCAGCACAGCCACCGGCGCGACCTCTGTTTGGTGCTTACCGCATACGGTCACTGTTGTCTTCCCCCTTCAACCGCCGTTATTCTTTGTTTTCCGATGCCATCCTGAAGGCTCAAGGTAACAGTACAAATACACTATACATGAAAACAAAACCAGGCCTCTACACGAAATGCAACACGTCGACGGGCGCGCCTGTAACGAAGCTCGTCAGCTCCCGGCTCGAGTAAGTAACGCGCGCCGCTACTCACCAATATGAGCCAAGAACGCCTGCATCTTCATCCTCTTGATGTCCTCCTGGAACTTGACGCCCTTTTCGTCCTTGCCTGCGCCGATGCTCAGGTCGAAGTCTTTCAGCAGCTCGTCCAGATCTTTGTCTGGCATATACTCAGCGCTTCGTCTCGACAACCCGGCACACCGACCCCACTCACCCTCGAACGCAAAGAGCGACCTGAAATCATACGGCCACATCTTGCTCTCCGAACCATCCTTCCTCAAGACGTGCTTGAATGCGTCCGTGTCGTCCGGGTGCATCCGCGAGTTCTCCAACCTCGCCTTCCTGTGCATACATCAGCTTTCGATTACTCAAGATGCACAGAACGTGCACGACGCACGAATTATCCAGCTCGACGTCAATCTTCCGCGCCATCCTCTCCGCCACCTGCTTCTGCTCCTCCAACGGGACAGCGATGTACTCGCCGATACTCGCGTTCACGGTCTTGTTCACCTGCTCCGCAATCAACTCGCGCATGAACTCTTCCAGCCCGGGTCTCAACAGAAGCGTTAGACGAAGTTGAACAGTATGAAGAACGTAAGTGGCCCACAGAAGCTCGTCCCTCGCTTGTGCTGGCAGGTCTTCGTATATCTGCTTCTTTAAGCCGCCTATTGCAGTCTGTTTCTGCTGGTCGTCCTGCACCATGGCGTCTTTCACTGCGTCCATCTCAGTGAACACGCCCGCCTGTGCGCGGCCATCAGCGTCAAGGTGAGTACGACGTGTTCGCGAGCGCTGAGCATACCATCGTCGGTCCACTCTGGCTTCGTGTCGTGCATTGCGCGGAGACGATATTCATGGCAGAAACCCTTCAAAAGATTTGAGTCTGTCAATCAATCTAGTAAGTACCAACAGGACACTGCTCACGCGTCAGAGATCGCTTTCTCCATGTCGTCGCCCGTCAGCATTGGTGAAGGTGACTGTATCGGATTCGGCGTCTGTGCCGTCCCGTTGCTGACGCGGGGATTCTGAGGCCATGAGGATGGTATCGTAGAGCCCGGACGAGAAGTGGCCATTTCGGATGAGGGACAACGGTAAACTCTGACAGAGGTGAGTGTTAGAGACGAGCTTCGTCTAGCGTACTAGTACGGTCGGGCGCTCTATACCAGCGGACGTGCGGACGCCTCATGTATCGATCCTTCCCGCGCCTCATCCCACGCCTCATGGCGAGAAGCTCCGCGTAGAAGGTCGAGGGCGTTGACGCGGTCTTAAGATCTGCTCTATTGGCCTTCTACATCTACTGATGATTGTATACATACAGATATGTTATCACTTTCTCGCTCATGCCCATCGACCAGCTCCTCGTCGACTAGCGCCTCATCTCCGGTACCAAATCCTTACCCTGCCCCGTTGTCAGGAAGTCGTAGATGTTCGTCAGTGAACGCATCTCCATGCGATGCTGCGAGTCGCGCGTCTCGGTGCCCATGTGGGGGAGCAAACAAACGTTGGTGAATTCGATGAGTCGTGGGTTCACCTTGGGTTCGTCGGGGAAGACGTCCAGACCAACAGATGCCAGCTGCGAGAGTTGTCAGCAAGCAGACGCGACCGACACAGGGAGCAATCGTACGTGTCCGTCCTCCAACGCGCGTATCAGCGCAGGTTCGTCGATGACCTGTTGTATGTCCTCAGTTTTTGTAACAACAAGGGTCTGAGCTCCTCACCTTTCCCCTGGCCGTGTTGATGATGACAGACCCCTTCTTCATTGTCCTGATCATCTTCTCGCCCACCAGGCCCTCCGTCTTCTCGTTCAGCGGAACATGCACGCTGAGCACGTCCACGCGCTTCAGCATGTCGTCTACGTCCGCGCAGTACTCAATCCAGTCCGGCGCGTCCGGCGAGGGCTTGCGGTTGTGGTACAGGATCTTCGTGCCGAAGGGCTTGACCAGTTGTGCGAAGTACAGCCCGATGCCGCCTAGACCAAGGATACCGAGGGTGATGCAAGAGACGTCGTGGGCGCGGTCGGAGACGGCGGGCTTCCATTTCCCGTCGCGGAGGGACCGCTCGGCGAGGTAGAATTGGCGCAGCGAGGAGAGGAGGAGGTAGAGCGCGGTGGTGGCGGTGGCCTCGTCCACGGCGCCTGGGGTGTTGGACACCCGAATGTCTATGGGTTACTGCTGTCAGTGACCGACGGTGACATGGGGACAGGGAGAGACGCACTCTTCGCCGCACAGGCCTCAACATCGATCTGGTCGTAGCCTGCACCGTTGTGTGCAATCCACTGCACACCACGGAGGCCATCTACTAGCTCCTTGTCGAAGACGCCGATGTTCTTCTTGGAGCCATTCGACCGGTACATCGCCACGACGCCATCGTACTTCCCGCCGGGCTGGAAGCCCTGGAGGAAGTCCGCGCGATCGGGGGAGTCTAGTTGCTGAACAGTGAATCAGCAAACGCCTTCATCTTGAGGACAATACACGCACGATGATCTCTGCATGATCGCCCAGCAGCTTTTGCGCGTCCTCAGACGCCCATCGAAGGCCACCTGCGATGGGAAATCAACGACTCCATCCTGTACTTTTGAGGCGTGCGTACCGCAGATGAGGACTTTGGGAGACATGGTGGTACTAGGTAAGATAGAGCGCCGCGGCCTGCACACCACTGGTACGATAATCCGGCGGCATCGCGTCGCTGCTGGCGGCCTCAGGGGTTTGAGAAGAAGTCGAACATCGGGCCGAGCGGCGGTGCGGACCGGAAGGTACATCGAGTCACATGACGATGGTCAGGCTTGCCCTCAGTCCAAGGCTCAAGCGCTAGCGCTCATTGTCTTTGCCCTTCACAAAGTCAAGAAATTGAGGGATAGATTCCCTCAGGAGGAAGATTCATAGAAATACAAGTTGAGACAATGATAAAAAAAAGGATTGCACATGTCGGAAAGAGACTCCTCGTCTCCCTCAGGCAAGATGGCCGAGTGGTCTAAGGCGCTACGTTTAGGATTCCATCTTACCGTAGTCCGAAAGGGCGCGAGTTCGAACCTCGCTCTTGTCATATACATATCTGTTTTCTTTTTCTACCAAACCTCCACAAGAGCGTAAGAATTCACGCATCGTCTGTCATTAATGTCTTTTTTTTTTTTTTTTTTTTTTTTTTTTTGGTGGATGCGTTTGGAGGACCAATGGCCTAGGAAACACTCAAGTAGGTCTTTCGACGCACTACATGTTTCCCGCAAAGGGCGACTGCCCTTTTAGCCCGCAAAAAAGGTTCAGGGTACTTTTCCCCGATAGAGCCGTGCAATAGATCGCTTTGCCGTTTACCACGCCGAGGAAATGCTTTTCCGCACTGAGTGTGGGACTCGAAAGGGAGGCTGTGGGTGTGCGCCCACACCCCCCAGCGCCACTCACCCACAGCCTCTCTTAATACCCACTAAAACCCCGGTGTCGCCCGTCCACTCGGGCGGCAGGCTCTGAAAACCATTTATGACCGGCTTCCATGTGCTGACAACTAAGCTTGGATCCAGCGCTTGTTTCCCAAGGCTGCGACTTGTTGATCGCCTGTCTTCGGTGAGTCTATACTCGATCGTTGCGTACCATCGCCGCTCGACTTCGGCCGCGCTAAATTCCTCATTTTCATTCTGGATTACTCTTTCACATCGGAGGTTCCAGATGAGCTTCGCTGATTCTGACATTAAAATTGTCCACAGCCTGTTTGCGCCCGCCATAGGACGGCCTTTGTCTGTCTTGTGAGGGTTGCATCCCGCTGCTACCACGGTTCCTAATGATTGCTTGGTCCATCTCTTCTTGGTGTGGCCCCATAGCTGTTCTGTTAGGCGCCATACGAGGTCCTGGCCCGTATATTCGCAGTCGAATAGTATGTGGTGCATCGTCTCTATCGCACCGCACTTTGCGCATTCAGCTCGTCTTTTCTGATCGGCGTTGAAGCTCCCCTTGAGCCAGTAGGTGCCGACCTTGTATGCATCATGCGTGAGCATCCACAGGAAGTATTGACATTCGAGGCCAATTATGGGGGAGCGGATGGCTTTCCATACGCTCTCGTGGGTCAACTTCACCCCAAAAGCGTCTTCCGTATCCGACAGTATTTGCGCCAAATTCGTTGCAGTGGGTCTTCTTGTCGTGCCTTGTTTTTCTTTCCGCAACCTGATTGCTTTGTAGGCTAGAGCTTGCGTGATCATGGGTAGTTTAGCTCCCGTAATTCGCAGAGATGGTTCGGTATTCATGTCGACCTCGTCCGGGATGTCTCTCCTCGCGCCCTCACCCGCTAGGCGGTCCGCGTCTTCGTTTCCGGCATGTCCGGCATGTCCCTTCACCCACTTGAACTTGGTATATGCTCTTCGCTTCCGAAGACGTGCGACGGTCGCTTTGGTGAGCGCCACATTTGTTTTGCCGATGTAACCTGTGTCTTCGTGACATTTTAGCAGGTTCGTCAGTTCCCCGATTGTCCATTTCGAGTCAGTCTCGATGCTCAAGCCCCTCTGAAGGGGAACCATCTCCACCGCGGCTTTCGCTGCCACCATCTCTCCGGATTGGTTCGATTGTTCGATGTAGGGTGGGAGGCGTATGCTTTTCTCTTCCTCTATCGCGAATGTTCTGAGCTTGACTCCAGCACCAGCGCGCGCATTGCGCTCGCCGTTGTACATGCAGGAGCCGTCGGTTGCTGCCTCTGCAGTGATCCACTCTTCATCCTCGGTGAGGGGCTGCCATCTGTCATTACACACGTTGCCTGTCGTGAAAATACGGAACGCATTGCTAACGTGTCCGCTGACGGTGACTCTCCTATCAAAGTAAGTCCATTCGTCATCTTTGCGTGGCTCAAGGTGCTTCTCGTAGTCTTCCGGGTGTTCTCCCCTGGGATCCCATTTTGTCGGTAAGGTGTTCAAAAACTGTTCCGCACGCGCATAGCATGCATCAGGGGACTTGCAGCCTACCTGCTGCCTCTGCGCCTCGCACGTGTCGCATTGACAATTGGGTTTCCCTTCTTGGTGAGTCGGCTCACTTCGTTTTGATGCTATGCTCTCGAAATCCCCCACTGTCATGGCCTTATGACGTTCTTTCAGGCATTTCGTGGCGTTTGAGAAAGCGGCTAGCCTTCGCATTTGTGGGCTCGCCTCGCTATGATACCACATTATCATACCTCGCAGTATCTCACGGCCGAAAGCTATGCCCTCAAGTCGGAGACCCCATCTCTCCGCTGCATCGGTGAGATTTCGCATGAAGCGAGGGAGCTTGTATTTATACGGTTTCCAGGACTGCATGAAGGTGTTTACGCGAAGGGTTCTATCGTGGGGCTTCGTCGAGTCTGGCGTGAAGTGCGCGAAAAGGGCGTCTACATAGTAGGCCCATGTTGGTCTTCGTTCGGACAGGTACTCCCTTAGCCAAACTACGTTGATGGCTTGGTTACGTGATTCTAGGTCTACTAGTTTGCGGCCACCAGTCTCAAACGGTTGGTATAGCTGATCCATCGACACCGTCGGGTGGTCATTCCCCTTCCAGAAGAATCTCCTGGTGAGTGCGTTGAGGCGTTGTACGACTCTGTCTGGCATTCCCTGAACTTCCGCTAGGAACTGGGTCATTCCCGCGCTCGTGAATTGGGCTGCGTGTCTTTTCGCTTCGAAAGTTGTGTGGCCTCTTCCCCACCGGTCGAGTGCGCTCGCCACTTTGCCAATTGTTGGCGCCCAAATGTCGCAGTCGTCAATGCCGTTGCCGAAGAATCCTCCCAGTATTCGGACGGCGCTGCCTTCGTCGGCCACCCGTACGTTCTGCGGATAATTTCCCCACTTGCCATGTTCTTTGTACTCATTGACAAAATCTTCTCGAAAAGCTACCGAGCCGACCGGGATGATTTCCGTCTTTTTGATGTTAAAAGCAGCTTTGGCGGCCTTGCACCATGTGTTCAGAATCGTCTCCAGGTCAGCGTAGTCATCAAACTCTGATAGGAAGACTGAGGTGTCGTCTGCGAAGAGGCGCACTTTCAGCCGTTCGAGCTGCCCCGGGATTTCGAAGCCTTGTATTTCCGATTTACGAATCATTGCAGATAGTGGCTCGATGGCAAGGTCGAACAGGAGGCAGGACAGTGGGTCGCCTTGCCGCACTCCTCGGAAGACGCGGTATGGTGCGCTCAGGATGCCGTTGATCATCACTGATGTCTCCGCGTTTGCGTACAGAGTCTGAACAATGGATATAAAGGACTGCGGGAAATTGAAGCGTTCGAGCACGCGCCAGAGGTAGTCGTGTGCAATCTTGTCGTACGCCTTCTCCTGGTCTAATGCGACAATGGCCCCGTTTGTCTCGGTGACCTCGGCCCATTCGATGATCGCTCTCGCTAACTGCGTGTGGTTTTTGATGTGCCGGCCTGGTACAAAGCCAGCTTGGGACTCATGGATGATGTCTGGGGCGACGCTTGCCAGACGGATTGATAGCACTTTGGTAAGCAGCTTGTAGTCTGTATTCAAGAGGGTGATCGGCCTGTAGTTGGCGATTTTTGTGCGCTCATTTTTCTTGTAGAGCGGACACATCCACCCTCTCGCGAAGCCAGCCTCATGGCATGTGCCGTACCGCTGGATATCGGTGAAGGCTTCGTGCAAAAGCTGCATCACATTGAACTTATCTCTGTCAGGGAAGCGCGCGTCTTCATTGAAGCGTGCATGCAACGTCTTCCAGAACTCATATGGCAGCCCATCTGTTCCTGGTGCAGAGCCATTCTTCGAGAACTGAAGGGCTAGCTTGATCTCGTCACTTTCGATGGGTTTTCCCAGAAGATTCGCCTGTTCTTCGGTGAGTCCTGTGTCCCCCAGGCTATCCAGTGATTTTCTGATGCATTGTTCGCGTTCTCTGGCGTCGAACTCGCCCGGTTTGTCTTTCTGCAGGTTCATATGGTATTGACGCGCCATGCTTGCCATCTTGGACGAGTCGTGCTCGTAAATTGGATCTCCCGAGGGAGACGTTTCGCCCTCGCGTTCAAGTGTGTGAATGATATCTCGAGGTTTGACATCTTTGTGCAGGTTGGTGAGTATCTTGGTCGGGCGTTCCCTGTTTGCTCTGTATCTCGTGCGGGAACGCGCTTTCAGCTGGTCCTGACGGTATCTTTCCAGCTTGCGGAGCTCTGCTTTAAGTTCCGCCGTCTCTGTTGCTCGCGTGTCGTCAGGTACGTGTTCCGCCTTGCTTAGCCTGTCAAGTTGCCTCTGCACTTCACTTATTTTTTGCTGAAGATTGGGGACGAGGATCCGTTGCCTCTCCCTCGCTTTTTCGCGGACATCTTCTTTGAACTTAGCCAGTATTATCTGTGCGTTGTTACCCTCGGATCGGCCCGTTCGTTGCAAGTCTGACACCTCTTCCAGGGCCTGTATACCGCGTTTCTTGGTGTAATCTCTCATAAACTTGTCTTTTATGAGGAATTCGGGCATCGTCCATCTGCCACGGCCTATCTCTGGGGCTTGCTCGCTTGTGAGCATTACAGAGACTACACTATGGTCAGTTTTGACTGGAGGCTCCGATATTTGCCACTGTCGGGCCGTTCTGAATACCGCTTCTGAGCAGTATATTCTGTCCAGCCTGGACAGCCTGGCTCCTTGACTGGTCTGCCTGACAAAGGTGTATTCCATCCTGTCACTGTACGTCGCGCGCCATCCATCGGTGAGCTTCATGCCAAGATCTAGCTTTAGGTTGTCGAGTTCTTCGACGGAGGGGTCAGTTCGTGTTTGACTTGTGGACGGTCCTTCGTGCGCATCACCGCTGGAGCCATTTGTGTTAATATTGTCTCCTTCGTGCTCATGCGAGTCTTGACGCCACTGTCGCATCGGCAGGCGATCGACCTCGTCTTCGATGCAGTTCCAGTCACCCGCCATGAGACATGGACGGGGCAGGTGAGTTCGTGCCTTGTAAAACTCCCCAACCTTGATGAAGAAGTCCTTCCTTGCGGACAGTCCTGCTGACGTCGGGGCGTAGATCACCAATAGGTTCTTACGCTCGTTTGGCTGCCACTGAACGTTCAGATGCAGGGCGTGACCTGGGACGATGACCGTGGCTTTTGCATCA